AACTGTTTTGCGTGGGTGTGGGATTGGAGTCATTTTAAAATTGAAAGGTTTTTTTGTAGATTCTATAGGAATGAAACATACTCTGGCTCCTCGTTACTGTTGGTAGTGGTTCCGCGTGATCCCACATTATTTAGAATAGAAACTGTTTTGCGTGGGTGTGGGATTGGAGTCATTTTAAAATTGAAAGGTTTTCTTGTAGATTCTATAGGAATGAAACATACTCTGGCTCCTCGTTACTGTTGGTAGTGGTTCCGCGTGATCCCACATTATTTAGAATAGAAACTGTTTTGCGTGGGTGTGGGATTGGAGTCATTCTAAAATTGAAAAGTTTTCTTGTAGATTCTATAGGAATGAAACATACTCTGGCTCCTCGTTACTGTTGGTAGTGGTTCCGCGTGATCCCACATTATTTAGAATAGAAACTGTTTTGCATGGGAGTGGGTTTGGAGCCATTCTAGAATTGAAAAGTTTTCTTGTAGATTCTATAGGAATGAAACATACTCTGGCTCCTCGTTACTGTTGGTAGTGGTTCCGCGTGATCCCACATTATTTAGAATAGAAACTGTTTTGCGTGGGAGTGGGTTTGGAGTCATTCTAAAATTGAAAGGTTTTCTTGTAGATTCTATAGGAATGAAACATACTCTGGCTCCTCGTTACTGTTGGTAGTGGTTCCGCGTGATCCCACATTATTTAGAATAGAAACTGTTTTGCGTGGGTGTGGGATTGGAGTCATTCTAAAATTGAAAGGTTTTCTTGTAGATTCTATAGGAATGAAACATACTCTGGCTCCTCGTTACTGTTGGTAGTGGTTCCGCGTGATCCCACATTATTTAGAATAGAAACTGTTTTGCGTGGGTGTGGGATTGGAGTCATTCTAAAATTGAAAGGTTTTCTTGTAGATTCTATAGGAATGAAACATACTCTGGCTCCTCGTTACTGTTGGTAGTGGTTCCGCGTGTTTCACGTTTTTTAGAATAGAAGCTGTTTTGCGTGGGAGTGGGTTTGGAGCCATTCTAGAATTGAAAAGTTTTTTGTGGATTCTATAGGAATGAAACATACTCTGGCTCCTCGTTACTGTTGGTAGTGGTTCCGCGTGATCCCACATTATTTAGAATAGAAACTGTTTTGCGTGGGAGTGGGTTTGGAGCCATTCTAGAATTGAAAAGTTTTTTGTGGATTCTATAGGAATGAAACATACTCTGGCTCCTCGTTACTGTTGGTAGTGGTTCCGCGTGATCCCACATTATTTAGAATAGAAACTGTTTTGCGTGGGAGTGGGTTTGGAGCCATTCTAAAATTGAAAAGTTTTTTGTGGATTCTATAGGAATGAAACATACTCTGGCTCCTCGTTACTGTTGGTAGTGGTTCCGCGTGATCCCACATTATTTAGAATAGAAACTGTTTTGCGTGGGTGTGGGATTGGAGTCATTCTAAAATTGAAAGGTTTTCTTGTAGATTCTATAGGAATGAAACATACTCTGGCTCCTCGTTACTGTTGGTAGTGGTTCCGCGTGATCCCACATTATTTACAATAGAAGCTGTTTTGCGTGGGAGTGGGTTTGGAGCCATTCTAAAATTGAAAAGTTTTTTGTGGATTCTATAGGAATGAAACATACTCTGGCTCCTCGTTACTGTTGGTAGTGGTTCCGCGTGATCCCACATTATTTATAATAGAAACTGTTTTGCGTGGGTGTGGGATTGGAGTCATTCTAAAATTGAAAGGTTTTCTTGTAGATTCTATAGGAATGAAACATACTCTGGCTCCTCGTTACTGTTGGTAGTGGTTCCGCGTGATCCCACATTATTTAGAATACAAACTGTTTTGCGTGGGTGTGGGATTGGAGTCATTCTAAAATTGAAAGGTTTTCTTGTAGATTCTATAGGAATGAAACATACTCTGGCTCCTCGTTACTGTTGGTAGTGGTTCCGCGTGATCCCACATTATTTAGAATAGAAACTGTTTTGCGTGGGAGTGGGTTTGGAGTCATTCTAAAATTGAAAGGTTTTCTTGTAGATTCTATAGGAATGAAACATACTCTGGCTCCTCGTTACTGTTGGTAGTGGTTCCGCGTGATCCCACATTATTTACAATAGAAACTGTTTTGCGTGGGAGTGGGTTTGGAGCCATTCTAAAATTGAAAAGTTTCTTGTAGATTCTATAGGAATGAAACATACTCTGGCTCCTCGTTACTGTTGGTAGTGGTTCCGCGTGATCCCACATTATTTAGAATAGAAACTGTTTTGCGTGGGAGTGGGTTTGGAGCCATTCTAGAATTGAAAAGTTTTTTGTGGATTCTATAGGAATGAAACATACTCTGGCTCCTCGTTACTGTTGGTAGTGGTTCCGCGTGATTTCAAGTTTTTTAGTATAGAAGCTGTTTTGCGTGGGAGTGGGTTTGGAGTCATTCTAAAATTGAAAGGTTTTCTTGTAGATTCTATAGGAATGAAACATACTCTGGCTCCTCGTTACTGTTGGTAGTGGTTCCGCGTGATCCCACATTATTTAGAATAGAAACTGTTTTGCATGGGAGTGGGTTTGGAGCCATTCTAGAATTGAAAAGTTTTTTGTGGATTCTATAGGAATGAAACATACTCTGGCTCCTCGTTACTGTTGGTAGTGGTTCCGCGTGATCCCACATTATTTAGAATAGAAGCTGTTTTGCGTGGGAGTGGGTTTGGAGTCATTCTAAAATTGAAAAGTTTTTTGTGGATTCTATAGGAATGAAACATACTCTGGCTCCTCGTTACTGTTGGTAGTGGTTCCGCGTGATTTCACGTTTTTTAGAATAGAAGCTGTTTTGCGTGGGAGTGGGTTTGGAGCCATTCTAGAATTGAAAAGTTTTTTGTGGATTCTATAGGAATGAAACATACTCTGGCTCCTCGTTACTGTTGGTAGTGGTTCCGCGTGATTCCACATTATTTAGAATAGAAGTTCTGGGAGAGGCTTTAGGAGCCAAATGAAGTGTTGAAGCTGCTGAGGTGCAGATTATTCCTTGAGAACTGGAAGATGGACCATTTCCAGCTGTTCCACTGTGACTGCCGTTGTCAGAAGCTGTAGATTTTGGAACATTGGGCACTGAAATTTAAAAAAATAAAATATTTATGAGGATGATACCACACAATACTTGTTGTAACAATATTCGAATCCATATCTAGCTTGCTGCTGGATTCTCCTTCAACTTGTTGCTCCACGGGCTCAGTATCGACAAAAAACTGAACATTCTTATTTTTCAACGCTCGTGTTTTTTGAAGTCTTTTACGCGCTTTGTAGAATTTGGAAAATTGGATGTCATCAGACTTCTCCTGCAGTGCCTTCCAGAAAATGACAGGCCTTTGAGACGTCCTGGCGTTTGTGGCATTGTCTTGAACAGGAGACTGTGATCTTGGGTTTTGTAGAATTGGTGTTTCTTGAACTTCCACTTCGATGGTCTCAGTAGCCGCACTCGGAGAAATAGTTTTATCCATTACCAGTGACACAAATGTCATAACTGGGCATACAAATTCTTGACATTTCAGAATAGAAGCTTTGTTGTGGACGACTGCTGGATTCCCTGAGTCCGATGAAGATGCGACGGCAGATTTCAAACTTGCAACTTCCAAATTTCTCTCACTGGAGACATCATGAGCTTTTTTAGGTACCATGGACATGATTGATTGTGTGGAGTTAGTTGGATTTCTACTTTTGAGGAAAAAGAAAGATTCATAGAGTCCTTTGGGGCTTGTATTTTGAACTTCAGAAGCTCTCGGTTTGTTTTCACTGCCAATGACTTCATTTTGAGCTTTATCCTGAAAAGATATTATACTTACATGGTGGAGATAGAGTAACGGTCAATAAAATATACAAAAAACGCAATTCTCAATTGATTTTTGGCTAGTTCGACGATTTTCAAGAGTCTGAGGCTCGGCTATCAAGTCAGCAATTGATTTGAAAATTTTGGATTGTGTAAAACAGGCCTAGATTGAAAACTTTGCATTCACAGAATTTTTAGAAAATTTTTAGTTTTCAGCTATTTGAAAATTTCTGAAAACACTCCTTTTAGTCTGCTTTTGTAATGAAAACGTGAAAAACTGATGTGTTTCAGATATCTGTGAATAGCTGAAAAATTAGGGATTTTCAAAAATTCTGTGATCGCAAATTTTTCAGTTTGGGTCTGTTTCACATTTTCCAAGATTTTCAAAGTGATCGCAAACTTGGCCCTGACTCCTGAAAACCGTAAAATTGGCCGAATATCAACTACGAAATATGTTTTTCTACTTCTTATTTTCCGATACTGTAGATAGAGAAAACTTACCGATTCCTGAGTTTGTAGCCTCCGAGAATAATGTCATCTTTAAAGAAGTCGTGATAGAAGACATGGTAACAAGACCCAAATCGTTTTCACAGTCTCTATTGTTTGTGCCAGTTGTAACCAAGACCTTTTTAGACGCCTTTCGAGATCTACGTTTGCTAAGAATAACAATCTCCTGGAGACCTTTGTTGAGCTCTCCACTTAAAGTTTCCTCTATGATTGTCTCAATAAAATGTGTAGCACATGGAATTCTCGACTTTGCGACATTCGAATTGATTCCACCTCTGGCGTTGATTAAATCCAATTGGTTTCTTAATTTCTTATTTTCAGATTTCGGCCAAATTTGATGAGTATGTCCAAAAGAAAATAGATTGGATGGGACTGCAGCGTTTCCAGTTTTAGTTGACAAATCCTCAGAATTTCGCTGTGAGCTCTTGACAACCCAATCGCTTGTGAAGGCAATCGATTTCACAGCTGGCGGAGAAGACAGATAAGTTGAAGCCGGTGAAATTGTAGAAGCTGTCGCGATTCCTGAATCCGGAGAGAGTGTTGAAATAGCCATGATGGTAGATTTCTGAAACTAACTACATTTTATCAGTCAACCCATTTCCGATATCTCTAGAAATAGAGATAATTGAGCTCGAAATGAAATCATAGGATAGCCTCCTATTAGAGTGTTTACGGTACATTACCTCCATGGGAGTGTGTTCATCGGCTACAACTTTAAGAGAATTGAAGGCATTTTGATTGATAGTTCTTGGTGTCTCATTTTCATTCATCGATTGATCCGCCTGCGAAGGAACTTCCGGAAGAGGGTCATTCGATGGAATCCAAGGAGTTCTTGCTCTCTGTAATCAGAACCAAAATTTTCTAAAATTGTAATGTGCTCACTCACCTTAACATCAGATTTCTTGGGTGCCGGTGGTCTTGGAGGTGTTCCATCATGTCTCTCCCAACAGGCAGCCAACAACCTTTCGTATTCAGCAGCTTCCTGTGAAAATAATGTTTTCTTAAATATTGTAAAGTGTTTAAGATTACCTTCGCCACTCGATCTTCAGAACTCTGAATGTTGGATATCTTTGCTCTTTGAGATTCTGAGAGTCTAATCTTAGGGAATTTCGGGTCCTCCACCGCTGCTTCAGCCATTTGTGTAGCCCATAAACCATCTTGGCATGCGATCCCCGCTGCCTCTAAAGTTTGCTCCAGAAGAGTTTGGACCCTTTGAGTTGAGGCATCATCATCAGCATCGATGTCAGTAGCCAGCTGGGACATCACTTCCAAAAGCTCACTTCCTTTGCTTTTGGCTAACTGACCAGATTCTCTGGCAGCAGAAGCGAGGCGTTTCAGAGCATCTTGCGGAAACTTCCGATTGATCGATTCAGCAGTTTCTGCACCTCGGATGGCAGCATCATTTGCTGCATGTGCTTCATCAATAGCCGCAGCTAATATGTTCAGTTTGGCTAATTCCATGCTGAAAATATAGAAGTTCACTAATTGAAAAATGGGTAAAGTGTTGTGAGGAATGTAAAAAATGAGCAAGTTCAAATGGAAATGAAAGATTGGGAGCTGCGGTACTATTCCAGCTGCGTAGTATCTAGACACGACATTTGCTGGGTCGACCTTTTACCAGCTGGGTGGTATATAATCGTAAACATTTTTTTTTCGATTAAAAAATTATGAAATGACGAGATTTGATGACGCATCAAAAATGCTTTTGGAAAAATGAAAATGACTCAGAACTGAATTTAAGTGAACATTTCGAGATATTAGAAACTGTAAACATAACCCCCTACTGTCAACTTTGAGCCAGTTCATCTCGGGTCCTATGAAAGATAATTAAAATTGGTCAACTGATCAAGAATTTATCATGATATCATACATATTGTTAGTTGACAAAATTTTGATATCTTTTACTGGAATCGAGATAACTGAGCTCGAACAGGATAACTGAGCTAGCTTCTTTCAGAGGAAGTACGGTAAGTTGAATAAAATTTCACTGTTACAGAGAAAATTTTTTCTAATAAAAACTTTTTGACTTAACTTCCAATCATAAAAATCTGTAGCTAACTAATATTTAATGAACGGCATAGCTCGAAAATGCATCAAAAGGGACAAGTCTAACCTCAAAACGGCATTGATGAGAATCGTATAACCCAAAAGGACATAGCGATTGAAACTCAGAAATGAGATACCACAGTATTAAAAAGCGCGTACAGGGGTCGAGCCTCTCAATTAACCTCACTCTTTCAGTAGACAGATGTGCACAAAAAGAAATTATGTCAAGAGAGGAGATTTCACTAAAAACCGTTCATTGCAGCTGGGGAAATGGGATGAATGATTTTTCATAGGGAACACAGAGCGCAATATCACAACGAGGGAACGCCCTCTCAGGAATCGAAAACAAGAAATTTAGAAATCCATAGTGACTCATATTCTCCAATGTTTCAACAGTCCTAAACAACAAAATAATAGTTATGGTTCTCCGAAAATCAAAGCAAAATTTCGAAATAATTTTTCGATATACTGGTTCGGTTTTTTCAAAATGATGTGATGCTGAAAAATGGACGAATGAGAAAATAATAAGCAGGAAGATCAGCTAGTTACAGTAACTTTTGATTTCTGAATTTCTGAATTTCTGAATTTCTAGATCGCTAAATTTCTGAATTCCTGAATTTCTGAATTTATGAATTTCTGAATTTCCGAATTTTCGAATATCTGAATTTCTGGATTTCAGAGTCTCAGAATCTCAGAATCCCAGAAACTCAGAATCTCAGAATCTCAAAATCTCAGAATCTCAGAATCTCAGAGTTTCAGAATCTCAGAAACTCAGAATCTCAGAATTTCAGAGTTTTAGAATCTCCGAATCTCAGAATTTCAGAATCTTAGAATCTCAGAGTCTCAGAATCTCAGAATCTCAGAATCTCAGAATTTCAAAATCTCAGAATCTCAGAATCTCAGAGTCTCAGATTCTCAGAATCTCAGAATTTCAGAATCTCAAAATCTCAGGATCTCAGAATTTCAGAATTTTAGAATCTCCGAATCTCAGAATTTCAGAATCTCAGAATCTCAGAATCTCAGAATCTCAGATTCTCAGAATCTCAGAGTCTCAAAATCTCAGAATCTCAGAATCTCAGAATCTCAGAATCTCAGAATCTCAGAATCTCAGAATCTCAGAATCTCAGAATCTCAGAATCTCAGAATCTCAGAATTTCAGAATCTCAGAATCTCAGAATCTCAGAATCTCAGAATCTCAGAATCTCAGAATCTCAAAATCTCAGAATCTCAGAATTTCAGAATTTTAGAATCTTCAAATCTCAGAATCTCGGAATCTCAGAATCTCAGAATCTCAAAATCTCAGAATCTCAAAATCTCAGAATCTCAGAATTTCAGAATTTTAGAATCTTCAAATCTCAGAATTTCAGAATCTCAGAATCTCAGAATCTTCAAATCTCAGAATTTCAGAATCTCAGAATCTCAGAATCTCAGAATCTCAGAATCTCAGAATCTCAGAATCTCAAAATCTCAGAATCTCAGAATCTCAGAGTTTCAGAATCTCAGAATCTCAGAATCTCAGAATTTCAGAATTTTAGAATCTCCGAATCTCACTTACTAGAATCAGAGCAATTTGATAGAAATGGATTTCAAACCAAACATCCAATGACTGGTTCATCAGAGAAATTAATTTAAAAAACGAAAATTAGATTCATGATATACTGTTTTCAAATTTTGACTTGCAATCGTAACTGCCTCAATTAAAAGTCATTTAAATAACGAGCTGATTGTGGAATTTCAAACGTTAATGGGTCTGAGTGTCCTGTTGTGCAGCCAATCCTGATCTCCCGCCTTATTCAAAATTGCAAGGGATTTGTTTTTCAATTTCGGAATAAAACAAAAAATGTTAAAGGAAAAATGACTTTATTAATGTGTAATGATTAAATTACCTTGAACCCAAAAGTTAAAGTTCTTGAAAATAAAGTGTTAACCAAATTATATTCTGAATCTCAATAAAATAGAAAAGAAAAAACGTAGAGTTAAAGATTATTTTTTCTTCATGGGAATCCTGTAACTGGCCATGAAGATTTCTTCCTTAGTTTTTGGGACAAATAATTCTCTCCCAATTGGGACTTCTCTCTCAAATTGGGCAGTTTTAGGCTGCTTTTGAACTAGCTGTGCTGATGGGATCACTGCAGGTGGTTCAGCTTTTGGAGTTCTGCAAAATAATGATGTCAATGAAAATTTGTAATCTTTCGTCTATTTACTTTTTCTCCACGACTTTGTTAGTTAAATGAGGATTTGTTTTTCCCTCCTGTTCAGTAATAATTTTCCCAAGAATGTCGTCGTCCATGGTGCTACTGGTTGAAGTGGTGCACGGCGCTCCCATTCTTGAAATAAATTCTCTGAAACGAAAAGTTTTTATTTGAATTCTTTTTTTTTAATATAATTTACCTCTTGTCATTCTCTTTTTTGTTGACCATACCGTTGTTGGCATAGGTGCCGCTTGCACTTTCGATTTTCTAGAAGATCGATATCTGTAACGATGCTATTCCAATTTTACACGTATACCGTAAAACCTGTAATAGAAGGCCCTCACGCTGTCAAGTTTAAGCTCAATTATTTCAATTTGTGTATGTACATATGAAACAGTGGTCAACTGATATGATGTTTATGATATTATGATAAAGAAATTGTCAGGTGACAATTTTTCAAATTCGTTGCCAGGTACCGAGACACATCGGTTCAAAGTTAAAAGTTAGGGGATTTTCTATTACAAGATTTATGGTATTTTAGCTTTAGTACCTTTTATCCTTGTGCTCATACTCTTCCCTATCTTCGCGTCTTCTGCTTCTGCTTCTGCTTCTGCTTCTGCTTCTACTTCTGCTTCGGCTTCGTCTTCGTCTTCCTTCTCTATCTTTTCTTTCATCACGTTGGTCACGGACGTTTAGCTCCTCTTTTTCTTCTTCGTCTTCTGATATGTTTAAACTATTTTTTTTTGTTGAATTTATTCTTTTTTTTTATTTTAGTGATATAGTTTGGAAAACGTACCATATTCTTGTCTGCGCATAGATACACTTGAATCAACTCGGGAGGATCTATGTTTTTCTTTTTGTTCCTGTTCCTTGAGATCCTGGTCCTTGGGAGATTTTAATGAACTTGATACGATTTCTCGGTGACAGGATGTATTTTGGGAGAATCTAGATTTTTCTCTTCGTTCCGGGTGTTTGAGAGATTTTGATGGTGATGATGCAGCTTCCTGGCGACTGAAAGAATTGGATTTGTAAAATTGCTCCATCAATTACATACTAATGATGTATTACCTTTCTTTGGGTATCGAAAAAACTGGATAATCATCCTCTAGTTGTTTTGCTGCTGATTTTGTAACTTTTGAATCAGCATCTCTGAAAACGTGAGTCATAAAAAAAAGACCACAAAATTATCTCACCTCTTTGAACGAACAGTTGTTTTTGCCTTGTCCGGAACATTGTCTTTTTCTCCTGTTGATTCAATTATAATCTTCTTATGCTTTATCAGTTCTTTGACATGTTCATAGTCTTTTTGGTGTCCTTCGAGTAGCAGCTCCGTCTCGAATAAAGCAGCTCTTGTTTTTTCATATTTTTCTTCCTTCTTTTCAATACGCTTTTTGATTTGGAGATCTTCAATGGGACTACAACCCAAACGGGACCTCAACCCATTATGAAGTTCCCCATTGTAATCCTTCTCGCAACGCTCACATTCTTTTTTGGCTTCCTTCACAGTTTTTTCCATTTCTTCCAGCTCTTCTCTTATCACTAGCCGTAGTTCACGTAATTGTTCTAGTGAAAATTCAGAAAGACCATCTGGAGACGACATCTGAGGACGCTCTCTGTGAGATGATAGTCTGAAAAAACCAGAGATATTTAGAATGGAATTCGGAATTTAGAAAATTCCGAAAATTTGGACCGGAATATTTCAAACGCAATTTTTTCGTGATGAAATTTCGATAGGAATATTTCTGAAGATACTTTCAAAATTAGAGTTTGAGGACTACGGTATATCGAAGGCATAGGTCTCGAACGCAACTACTATTAATGTTTTGTGTGAATTATACATGTGTTGGTCAATTTTCCACTAAGTGTGAGTGTTTGGGAAAATGAAATTCCAAAATACCAAAGTTCTGAAATTTCAAAAAGTAGAATATTTCAAAACTTTAAAAATCGGATTATTTCGAACTTCCGAAATTTTTTGATTTTCCGCGCTTCTGTGATGGAAAAATTAAATTATGGAATCCCGAAACTTCAAAATTATCAATACGGAATTTTCCGAAATTGCAAATATTCGAAAATGAATTTTTTCAAAATTCCGAAATTCCAAAATTTTTAGTTTCAATTTTCCGCACTTTCCGAAATTCAAAAATGTTCAATATGAAAACTTTGTAAAATTCTGTCAACCGATAAAATGTTTCTCAAAGTATCACCAATACTTTTAAAAATTTCTGATTTTTGACACTGTTACAGAAATTTAGAAAATTGAGCTCAAAGCGCAACTATAGAGTGACCTTCTATGACTTATGACCTCAATAAAAACACATGAATTAGTGAAGTTGGGCAGGATGGAATCTAAGACGATCATGGGAAAGTTAATTAGTGAGATTTTTTCCAAAGAAAAAAACCAACTCTTCGTGTCAGTCGTCAATCCATCTTGTCACTGCACTCACATCATTATTTGCCCTTTTCTAGTCTCAGATCCTCTTGTCACAAGAAAAATCTAGAGGCATCCCTTCTCTTCTTTCCAAAAAATTGATGGCGATCTCTATACATAGAGCAACACTGAGTCGTTGAGTGTTTCAAACAAACGCGCTCTTCTGACAAACGAGCACAACTCGCGCAAAGCAGAAAAAACTCAAATTTGAATTGTTATTGCACAAAAAATGCTAAAAGTTTTAGGCTTATTTCCCCATTAAAAAATTCTGCATTCTAACTAAACTGAAAGAACTACATAATGATACCAAGCTCATATTAAATCAAAATATTTAAAGAAATCTAGCAGCGTTTTCAGAATCTAGACTTTCTCGTAAAAATTTTCTCTGTTTAGGTTTTGATGCTAGTACTAACAATTTTAGGTTCATTCTCGCTCTACTGATGAGACTAGAAATGGATCCTTTTGTTCATTTACTTTGAGTCACTAGAAGTGTTTTCAATTAATGATGCATCGGAAAAGTATGAGGGACAGATGAGGAACGGGAAATCATAAATATTCTGGAGTACGAATAGAAAAAACACCAACTGCGATTATAAAGTACAGTCAAAATACGAAACTCTCGCCAAAAAACTTTATAGTCAGCTATTCAAAAAAAAGATTGACAGACTATTGTGTTTTCAAGGTTTTCCTTCTGAGCTTTTGAATAGTTGATTCTCACACTATTGTTAGAAAAACGAGCAAACGTCCCTTGACGATGAAGCTGAATAAAAAATCATTGACTTTTTGCTCTTATGGAGGTATAAAGCTCATACTAACGAACCCTCATTTCCTCACTAAGAATAACTGAGGATCCACCTCTTCCGGTGATAACCGGAAGGAGAAGATTCAAAGTGCAAGGAAAAGTTCGAGTCAAAATTTGAAAAAAAAACCCACCGAGAAAAAGAAGAACGAGGGGTGTAAACTATCAAAAAGCAAAAATACGAGAGGTGTGGAAGAGGAAAAGGCAACGTTCATAAAACAAATACGGGGTTTTTTTGAGAACCAGAGAAAGGACGGAATATATTATATGTGTTTTTTTTGATAAATTTTCGGTTTATCCTTTTTTTCATGAAAATTTTCTGAAGAAGAATGAAAAATTGAGGGAAACTGAGATGAAACTACAAAGAAAAATATCGAATCGCATGACTTTATATTTTGCGTAATATAATTTCTGGAATGCAAAACAAATCAGGAAATGTGGATTTCGTGCTCAATTATCTCGGTTCCTAAGAGAGATATCAAAACACTGTCAATTGATTGAAAAGTGGTGATAGTGTCTCAAATAATTTATCAGATGAAATTTTCGAATATCTTTTAAAGGAACCGAGATAATTGAGCTTGAAATGCACGAATAGTGCAAGCTTCTATTTTTGCTGATACGGTATCTGGTTCATATTGGTGGTCTCCATACCGCCAACCGATACGACGGGCAGACAGGTTGATAACCTTGATGTGGTGCTTGTCGTCGTATGAAGCATTGAAGACGATCTTGGCGTTTGATTGAGCTTGGATGTCTCCTGGTGGGACGGATTGAGCCATGGCGATGATTTGATGGAGTGTGTATTACTTGATGCGCAATATAACGACTGTGAGGTAGCTTTAATAAACTTTATTGTTTTTTTTTCAAATCACGACAATAATCAAATAGCAAATTAAGTGCACTTAAGAGGAATATGAGAATGAATGAAGTGATAGAAATTTCACATAAAATACATTCAATAGGGAAGATCGGTTTTTTAGAAAGAGATCCTGAAGCTTGAAACCTATGGTGGGACAATAAATGGAAGTGATAGCGGGTCCAAGAGTACTGTACAAGAGTACAAGAGTACTGTGAGTAGAGTACGAAGTACTGTGTTAGTCGATATTTTTACTAATGAAGAAGACTTGAGCCACGAAAGTTGCTGGCTGCTCAAACTTTCCGACGAGCTCAATGAAGACATTCCCAGGAGCGACGAGCGTTTTTTCGACACTCTCGTTTTCAATGCAGAAGTAGAGCGATCCGGGAGTTGTTAACGGTAGAAAATTAATCAGGCTGATGTCTTCCTTTTCCGGGTCTTCTTGTTGGCGGATGAGACTGTAAATTAGGATTTAGGAATTTTTTCTGTTATATATTTTGTTTTGGTATAATAAACTTACTTCAGTCCTTCAATGATGTATCCTTCATTGTTCTGGATGTGCTTGAACGTTGGGATGGCGTACTGATCCGTAACATTGGCCTTGTAATCAACTTCAATTCGATACAAGGCCACAACAAGGCGACCTTCCTTCTTTCCAACAATATGACGAAACTCAGAAAGATCATCTCGCAACTTGTTCACCTTGTGCATGTTCACTCCATAAACATTTCCTTTATCTGGAATACCATCACAAAGCGCCATTCCAAGCGGAGCAAAAAGGCAGGAGAGAACTTGATGGCAGTCATCGCCTCCATTTGAAATGTTGCTCTGTGGACAACAACGAAGGATGTGCGGGTAGGTGAGATCCACTGAAATAAGATAAATCTAATTTTTTATCTAAAGAAGAATACTCACTATGGATTTTCCATCCCATATTCAATCGATTCGCAATAATTTCCTCAACTCTAGACTTCACGAACAAGCTGAGAGATCCTGATGTCCTTCGAATCATGAGCAGTAGATCCTGATAATAGTCCGCATGAATTGGATGGACGTTTCCTTGCTTGGCATTTTTCTCGATCCAGTATTTCAAGTATTCTTCCAGGCGGAAAACTTGTTTTGTTGGGAGAAAAGTGGCCATAGCATTGATGTCGGCGCCACCCATCGACATATACTGTGCGATGCGCTGGATATTGCCATATTGAACCGCAAGAAGATGCATTCCATCCACGTTGAACTTGGCAGTGAGCTTCTGTCGACGGTTTACTGGTTTTCCAAAAATGAAGAATAGTCGTTTTTGGCACTCGGCACCATACTTCATGCAATGGAAGTAGACATCGTAGCGGAATGGTCCATCATCTGAAAATTTTTCTTTTGAATAACAAGAGAATGCCAATGCCTTGTAAACCCAGAATCTTATGAAAATTCAGAATTTGTTAGAAATAGTTTATCCTGACGCCGCTTGGCAGATTCAGCCAAGTTATATCAGTTTCAGTACGAAAAATCGCTTTTTCAGTGCAAAACAGCAATTCTTAAAGACGATTTTCTCAATTTCTAGGGCGTTTCAGAAAATAAAATTTTTTGTGTTATACTGAAAATTGAAGAAAAAATCATATTTCGGTATTTTCCTAATTTTTGAATATTTCCAAGTGAAGCGAAAGTTAAAAAATTCGAAATTTTACGTTTTTACAGTATAGCAGATTATTACACTTATAAGAAGGTATAAAAATCTGTACAATTATCGACATACCTCCTTCACGTCCACTGTATCTTTTTTTCGACGTCTCGATGAATCTCAATCTGCTCGGCACCAACTCCATGAACAATTTCATCCAGGCGCATTTTCGATGATTTTTGCAGCACAATGGATTCTGCTTTCGAATTTTCAACCAGCTGACAGACTCCTTCGCTTCGACAATCGACATTCCATTTGGATCTGCATTCCACTCTCGATGATCGAAATACGAGATAATGAAGACAATCAGAGCATAACGATGCGGATCGTATTTTGGATCATTTGGAATATTTTCCGTGAAAATCGTCTTGAATCGATCAGTGTCATCCTTGCTATAGGATTTGACGAGTTCTGGAAGTAGTGGTTCCAGCTGCTTTTTGAAGGGATGGGAAATTAGTTCCATTTTCTTTTGGTTTTCCTCCACCAACTGTTTGTACTCTTGAACATCTTCCTCTGGAACAGCAATCACTTGCGTTTCTCTGGGTTTCGGCTTCAGTCTCTTCATGTCATTCTCGTAAAATCTCGTTATCGAGGCCGGGTGATCTTTATTGACAAGGTTGACTCGATCCAAATTCCTTCAAACATCTCAATCTCGGCTCCTTTGAAAAAGAAGTTGTTGAGACTTTCTGCTGAGCGACAACGCCGGAATTTGAGATTCCAAAGAGCAGCTGTGAATGGTCGTGTTGGTCTGACTCCCTCCACTTTTACCGGAAATTCTTTGAGCTCTAGTTGGAGTTTCTTCATTTCTTCTTTGATTTCTTGAATATCCTTGGCAAACTGACCGGGATCTTTCTTTTTTTGAACAACTGGGTGTTTGTCGTACGGCTTTTTGAATTCTGCAACCTTCGGCTGTGAAGGTGCAATCCGACGTGGTTTGTTGAGTGGCACAGCTGGTGGAACTGATTCCGATCTCTGTAAATACGTCAATTTATGTAAGCTATAATATCAAGTCGAACTAAAAATGTGAACTTGAACATCGATGTGACAGTCTTGGAGACAAGAATTTTTAGTATTAATTTTTTTCGATGATACAAATTATTTTATAAAATTTCAACACTATTTTTTAGAATCCTATTTGGGCTGCACCACTTCTTAGGCTTATTGGGATATGAACACACACACACACACACAAAGATAAGAAGCCCGGAGGGCTTCTATAGTATCATAAAGTGGGTGGAGTTAACATTGAAGCATGCATGCAAAGGGCCGGACCGGATTTTTTTCAGAATTTTCAGGGCCCGGCCGGGTTTTCAGATCTTTTCAAAAAAATTTTCGGGTCAACTGAAAAAATGGACGATTTTTCTGTCAAGTTAAAAAATTTTCAAGACAAAGTTGTCCATAAAAAATAATTTTTTTTACAAAAAAAATTCTGAAATTTCAATTTTTTTCAAATTTGACGAACCCGGGCCCGCCGGGCCCTGATTCTACATGTATGCATCAAAATAATGTAGGAGGATAAAGAAGAAAAGGGAAAAGTGATTTATGGGAAAAGCAATATCTGTAAGAGCAAAATATCTCATTCTTAGAGTTGCGGGGGATACAGAAGAGCAGTAAACAATGACGGCACGCCCGAAATCGTGCTGAGCTTGAAAAATAACTAAGAAGTAGTACTTTTTTCTTTTCCATAAAAATATTTCAAAAAATGCCACTTTTCAAGGTTTGTTACATGAAACGTGTACCTGTGTAGTCTTTCAATTTTTGATTTTCTTAACAAAATTGCAATTATACGATGTATAATGATATTAAAACAATTTAATCGAAAGAATCAAAAATTTTTCTATACGAAACAAAACAATTGCGGTTATTTTGAGCTATGGAAATCTCAGGATAGTTCAAAAAGAAGAAATCAGATACAATTTTTCTCTAACAAACCATGAAAATCGGGATTTTTAGAATCTTCTCTTTTTCGGAAAAAGACCAGAAAGTAAAACGCCGTAATTCACTTTTTAAAACGTATTAAAGCTTTTTTTTCTACAGAACTAGATTTTAGAAATTCTGAATTTTTGCTCCAGGACTGTCATACCGAATTTTTTCATGATTAGCAGCTGTAATTTTTTCTGCAAAATTCAAAAAAAAACTTATAGTAATTTTAACTTTTCGTAGTGATAAAAAGTAATTTCTCTGACGTACCTGTTTCTTAGCACTTTCAGTTGAGCCAGCCAAACTCGCAGCCCTTTTATTCGATTTTTCCGATTTTTTGCGAGACGTCTCATTCTGCTCATCAGGATCACTTTCAATAATGACTCGTCGTTTTTCCTTCTTTTGTGGAGCTTCCGATTCTGCTCGCGCCGCAATTTTTTTCTTTCTCACTTCCAATTTCTTTTGCTCTTCTCGCTTTTTTCTTTCTTCCGCTTCTTTCTTCTCTCTTTTCTCATCCGGACTATACAGATACTCATAATCGGCAACTTTTCTCCAAGCGACCATCAAATCATCCCACATGTTAGCTCCATAGTCCTTGTCAATTTCTTCATATGTGTTGGGATAATTATTAGATTTGTAGAATTTTGCCAACGCTTCTGGAACCGAGTCATCCGTTCGCAAGTTTTCTTCCGGCTCCCATGTCCGCTGCTCAAATGGGAAATTTTTCCAGTGGACGAGATATGCGTACTTGGAGTGTTTAGTCATTCCATCCTTCACGGAGTTTGGGTTAAAAACCGCTTCTGACTTCAGCGCATTCTGCAAAAGAGCGTCGAATTCCATTCGATGTAGAACAGTCTCAACTTCGTATTCTTCCTCATCGGACATCTGAAAAACATGGAAGATTAAACATTTTTGCATTTTCTGTAATAGAAGTTGAGCAAATTTTTCTCGGCTTTTGATTTCTCTTCGAAGATACAGTATTCTTCGACTCAACATTTTTTCCTTTTTTTTCAATTTCTCGACTATTTTCATTGTTTTTTTCAATGTTCAATGTACATAAATCTGAGAAAATAAGTTAAAATGCTTAATATTGTTGAAAAACGATGAAGAAATCATCGATAAATTGAGAAAATAGAACAATAAATGTTAACCTATTCTCACATAATACTGTAGTTCGATCTTGCGTTTTTAAGAAAAATTCAACGAGATATCCGCTCTCAATGTGCATTTATTTCGTAAAGAATAACATTTTTACATTTTTTTTTCAAAATTTTACAAAAAAAAATTACCTTTAACCTTTTTTCGGCTTACTTCTTCGAATCGATTGCTGAAGATGCGCAAAATTTGATGATAAATTTCGAGTGTATCGATTTTCCAAGGTTCTTCGAGTGTGTCTGGTGCGTCTCACGTCTTGGCGCACTCTTACCCGATCTACGTACAAAAAATGAGTGGTGTTGTGTGTGTGGCGGGTAGCGTAATGAGACACTGTCTTGCATTGTGTTGTCGCGTACTCTCACCGTCTATGTCTCTTCCTCTACAACACACTAGGTGTCTTTTTGACTTGGGGGAAGCGACCTCCAACAGATGTTCCGTTCTAGACAGCCAGTTTTTGACGCTCTAATCTTCTTTCGAGTTCCATAGTGTCTTGCTTGTGGCAAACAATTTCGGACGAAGGAATTATTTTTGTGTTTTAGAGGAATGAATTTATTTTCTATAACAATTATTCTGAGAATCTTCGAAACATTAAGGCGGAGTAGAAAAAAAACACATCCATTTATTTCAATTTAACCGAACATGTAAAACAAAATTGGAACAAAGAACATTAGTCAACAAATAAGTGAGAATAGAAAATTTGAAAAAAAAAACAAAATTCGAGGATCGAATTGGATTTGGGGGAATCTTTGGAAACTTCGGAGAAATCATGGTGTGAGAACAAGGAGAAACAAAGTCTTTGGAATTTATATGAGAATCATTTCAAAAGAAGAACCAATAGTGAGAAACAAGAAAACTGACCAACTTATGAATTTGGATAATGTGTAGCAACATATAAAGTAAGAAGAGAAAACGAGAGTGAATCCTAGAGAGGCATCGTCGACGCAGAATAGGTTGAAGGAAGGACATTTTTGCATCCTTTGCGGCACCTGTGATGAAACAGAATAATAGAGTCATTCGAAAACAATAATATAGCTCACTTGCAAGGGATTTCATCGTTACTGCCGGTTGGAAGCATTTTTTCGGGCAGATAATACCTAATTCGAACTCGCTGACCAACATCAATATCCTTTATAGCATATACAGCTATTCTCGGAATTAATGGATCTTCTTCGAATCTGCGACTGTGCGTTTCAATCATCGCAGAGTTAGGGGTGCAGGAATGTCCCGCGAATCTCGCAAGGTTTCTGAAAATTCATATCTTCTTTTATGTTACAACTAGTGAAAAAAAAATTTCTGTAAATCCACAAATTTAAGAATCTAAAAACTCAACAAGAAAGTCAAAATTCAAAACTGACCCTTGGTATTGGGCACAGATAATAATCTGTGTATCCATCACACGGAACGTGGCATCATATGTCTGCTTCCGTTCCGTGTCTTTGAACTCCGATCGCTCATCGAACTCCTCATGGATGTCTGGCATACTCTCCTTCATGCCATCCTCCAGGCAAAATCCTATTGTAGTGGCTGACCAATCTTTTCCCACTCCTGTTGGTTTCTTGGGTGCCGAAGGAATCTTTTCAGGCTTCAACATCAACATTTCGCCGATGTATTCAAACAACAGCTGTCCTTTCAGAATTGGCTCCATCGCGAAGAGCTCAAAACTAAGCGGACCGTCGACAACAGCAAATGATGGTGTGCTGCCCTGCTGAAGTCTTCGGTTTGGGCAGTCATCTCCACAGCCGCAAGCATCCGAGCATTCCACCGCAATACATGGTATGCTGTATTGGTATTTCAATACATCGAGAAAACCAGCAGTGTCATGCTGGAGGTGGAGAATGCCGCTGGATCCATTTTCAGTTGCATTGTATATGGTTCTGGCCTGAAAACAACGTCGAATTGTTACTAGTCACTATTTTCGTTCCTTGGAATTTGAATTCCAAAAGTAATTCTTAAAGTGACCGTCTAATGCATACCGTAAACACTCTGGTAGCGTATCACACAAACCATCATCTTTAGTGAAAACATTCTTATGGTAGCATGATAAAAATTTTGTCAGTTGGTAACTTTTTTATATCTTTCACAGGAATGGAGATAAATTGAGTCAAAGTTGACTGTTTTTGTGGCGCTCTTTCAGAGTGCGTACGGCAAATTTGAAACGTGTTTTCAGTTGAACTTGACCATTTTCAGTGATCTGAAACTTGGCTGTCAAGTGTCCGATCACTTTGAAAATTTGGAAAAGTACAAAACAGATCTAGAAGAAGAACTTTGCATTCATGGAGGTTTTAAAACGTTCTGGTATATCTTAGTGACCGCTACTGCATTTCGAGAGCAAAAAAGGTATCAAAAAATAAAAACGTCATTAGAATTAAAATTTAAAAAATAGTCCGAAGACAGTTGAGTTCGAGTGGCGAAGGTAAGCCAACTAGGAAATGAGTCTGTTTTGAGTGCCAAAAGATTATAGGACGTCTATCGAAAATCTTCTATTTTTAGAGTATCTAAATATTTCGAAAAGTTTGTCAAACACTCTGAAGGCGCATTTGCAATGTCGTTTGTTGGAGCATGCGGTTAATCCTGATTGGTTGGCTGGAGGGTTGAAAGCTGAAACGCTCAAGTTGGCCTTTCGTCCGAGGCACCTGTGATATGCGTTTTCCCGTAGAACGTTGACATTGGTATACTGGAAAAAAAAGGCAAATCAGGTAATCAAAATCAAAATAGATGGACAGAACTCACGGAAAACTTCGGGGGCGCCTTCATATTCTGCTGAAAACAAAAATAGAAAACAGCACCCAAACCGTAATCGGTGTGATGCTCAGTGTGGTAGAAACTCAGATCTTTGTAGAGCCAATAGATATGAGTAGGGTCCTTAAGCACCTTTTGGTTTGGGTGTATCTCGTTCAGAATGGATGCTGACGAAAAATGTTCTCTCTTATTGTTCCGCAATTTTTCCAAAAAATTGTCCCGAATTGTCGCTATTCGGAGACCTTCCTTTGGAATGAAGTTCAAACTTAGCGCGACTTTATCGATCGTTTCTGGGGTCCATCCAAGGTACAGCACAGATGCGTCAGTCCCATTTGGTTCCTGGAAAAGCTTATAGTTGAACTTGGAATACAAATTTCAAAGTCACCATACCATCCAACCATCCTGAATAACCCATTCCGTGGTTTGGTCACTTCCATAGGCTGCCTGATCAGCAGCGCTGAACTTTCGAGTGGGAATCCCGGCTCCAAGGTAGCTCTTTTCAAGTTCTAGGCTCCCTTTCTTCTCGGCTCGCCGTCCTTCATGGCTGGAGTAAGGGAGAGAAGATTTAAAACTGTCGACAACTACAACACGATCGCTCGAGACGTACTTGAAGGGTGATCCTTTTGATTGAACCACGACAAGAGCTTTCAGACGATCGCGGTCAATTCTAGAAAAAGATTAGTTTGATCAGGAATATTTTGAAATTTGAATCGCCCAGAAAATCATAAATGTTGTAAGGATAATTTTAAAGTTGAATTTTCATTGAATTTTCTGAAAATTCTGGATTTTTAAAATTTTATTTTATTGGAATTCTTTTTTTAATTTTGAGTTAGCGAATTCAATGAGAGTAAAGTTTAGTTTGGAATTAGCAAAATGAGTAAATTAAATGATCCTCAACATCATCGAAATCTGTTACGATTCTTTTCAGGGAAGGGATGTCGTCTGGCACAGATGGTGTGTACGAAACCAAATGATCCGCTGCACTCATTGCCCTTTTTCGATGATTAGTGACGATTGGAGCAGAAGGCTGATTTTGATCATTACAGGAAGTACTGTAAATCAGAAAAAATTTTAATTAAGTAATTTTTCTTGAGCTCACTCTGATGTATCGGTTGCCATAGTGAAGAGGAGGAGACGTTGAGATGTTGGCAAAGAATTATCTGAAGAATGAGTATACTGAAGATTGAATATAAAACGTGGAGTGAGCAGAAAGAAAAATGATAGGGTATGGAAACATATGCTGTCGAATAAGATCAAAATTTCTCGTAATCAGACGTCCGGTAGGCACCAGGTACTCGCCCCAGTACCAAACGCCAACCATGAAACATGGTGGAGGATCGATCTGTGTTTGGGGATGTTTTTCGGCGTACGGTATGGGACCTCTAGTCCGCATTTCGGGTCTAATGGATAGATTCCAATATGAATCGATCTTGGAGAATCATATGAGACCATTTGCTCGTCAGTCCATCGGTCGGTCGTTCACTTATCAGCAGGACAACGACCCAAAACATACGTCCTTGCATGTTCGGAATTGGTTCAATCGGCGTCATGTGAACGTTCTGCCTTGGCCAAGCCAAAGTCCCGACTTGAATATTATCGAACCACTCTGGGAGGAGCTGGTGAGACGCCTCAAAGGAAAATTTGCCTCCAACGCGGACCAGAAATTCGTTCAACTTCAAGATGCTTAGTCGCAGATCCCACAGTCGACAATTGATGTTCTGATTGATAGCATGCCTCGACGCTGCCAGGCCGGATTGACAACAAAGGCTACCCAACCAAGTTTTAAATTATTTTCATTTTATTCCCGCTTTATTTTTAAGTGATTTTTGTTTTTTTGTAATGTTTAATGAAACTGTTGCCTGTTAAGCGAAATTCCATTTTTCTCAATTTTTGTAATTACGCGTCTGATATGGTGTCTGCGGTCTTGATATTTTTTCTGGAATATTTCTGAGCCTTTCAAAAACATACATAAAAAATTTCAGAGTCCTAGCTCTCATAGTTTTCGAGATACCCTCGTAAAACTAAAAGTTGATTTCTTTTTGTCCGGTACTGTATTAATGCAATAAAAATTTTTTATCGGTGTCCCCCTCAAAAGAGTTCAAAATCGAAAAAATGAAGTTCGGCAAAAAAAAATATTAAAAATATAAGAAGTTCAAAAAAAATAGAGCTCAAAAACCAATAACTCGCGGAACATCTCATTCTCATTGACCTCTGCCACTCTCACTAATCATTCAATGCCAGTTGTGACAGCTCGAGAGAAAAGGTGGGAGAAACAAAAAAAAAGAGGGAGACCGTGTAGACAAGGCGGGAAAAAGGGAGATTTGAATCATATTCGAGGAAACGAGGCTGATGTATCTTTTGAAGCGAAATCAGACAAGCAGTGTTTCGTGAAGTGGATATGAATTGGATAAACGTGATAAGAAACAAAACACGGATATTCCTTCTGTTTATCAAAACTATCTCAGCTGAAAGTTTCCAGAAGAATCTATTCCAGAAATTAATTCACAAAAATTATCGGTTTAAAAAAAAATTTATTCATGAAAAATAAAATAATTTTAAAAAAATCAAAGATATGGAGGTGTACAAATGAAACTTATCAAATTTGAAAAATTGAAAAAGATGAGATAAAGAAAAAAATTGATGGCTGGTGGCGAGGTGTTGCGTGTTGCGTGGGTCGAATGTTTCTCTCAAAAGTCATCGAACATTTCATTGTTCTGCATAGGATCCTGAAATGAAATAAAAATTATTTCAATGCACTTTTTTGAGAGCATTTTTTAAAAGTGTAATAAATCACATTTTTGCAATGTTTTTTGATTCTAAAATCTATTTACAGAAAGTAAAATCCAAATTTTTTATATACAAAACAAGGAAAACTGGTGCTGTAACTCCTAAAAATGCTGAATATTAAAAGAAGAGATACATTTTTCTGTAATAAACTTTGAAAATTGGTTTTTATGGGATATTTTCTATCGGAAAAGGTTTATACAGGGTTTTGTAACGACTAATTAACTTTTTAAAATCATTAAAATCATTAAAATCGTCTTGAATCTCAATGAGATCAAATTGAAAATTCTGACATCATGCTTCACATAAATTATTTTCAGGGTAGATCGAAATCAGCTTTGCAGTTCGCTATTCTTCTATGGAAGAGCTAGCTCTTACAAAAAATAATTTTTAAAAAAACACACCTCTTCCATCAGTGACTGAAGACTTCCAGCTGTTTCCGGGTCATACCACATACAGTCGTCGTAATCCCACTGAAGAGGAATCTGTAAAAAATACAATTCAATATTCAGAATAATCCATCGTTTACATATCAAACAGAGAAAAAATACGTTTCGATTCGATTTTAAAACCTACTTGCTCATATTCGTTCTGTTTCTTGGTCCCATACTCCCTTAAGATTCTCCAGATACCTGATACAATCATCACGGTGCTAGCAGCAAAGATTAAGTATCCTAGGAAAAACATCTGAAAAAAAGCAGTTCAAATTTTCAAAAAATAAGGGAAACAAAATTTGTCAGAACCGATAAAAATGGGAAATGGAGAGAAAGATGAGATGGACTTACAACAGCTGCACCAAATCCATTTGGAATGTTTGAAAGAAAAAAAACTTGAACAGTGTCGAACTCTAGCAATGCACATTGTTTGCACCTGTTACCACGACGATGAGTGAATAATAGTTATGTAATTTTAAGTAATGTTCTGAATTTAGAATATATAATTTTCGGATTCTTATTATATCGCAGATATGTGACTTTGGTTACTCGAAGAATACCGTATTAAAACTAACAGAAGCCCACCCAAACTGTTAACTTTGAGCTTGATTATCTCGATTTATTTAAGAGATATCAGAAAGTTGTCAATTAATAAAATACTGGTGATATTATGATAAACATGTCATCAGTTGACAACTTTTTGATTTCTTCTACGGGAAATGAGATAATTGAGCTCAAAGTTGACGGTTTGAGTGGCTTTCTTTTAAGAGTAATACGGTATATCTTTGAAAAACAAATATCTGAATTAAAACAATTGCGATCCATTAAATGTTCATTGTACCTAAATTAAAGTTGAAAGTTCAATTTTGATATTTTTGACTGTATAATGAATGTTTTGTCTATTCCTTTTCCCTCTCTCGCGCTTTGTCTATCTCTATCTGTTTTCAGATTTTTCGAGAACCCTCAAAGCTGATATGACTCATTGGACGGGATGAAATCAATTCACTGTTTTGAATCATTTTTGTGTTTATCTGTTCACCATTTTCTGATTTTTGAATGACATATCTTTGTATCGCCTTGAAAGCGATTTTCAGATTTTTTTGTTTTTCTGTAAAAGTCAAGGCTGGATATCAGAATAGTCATACATAAGCTCACTATTTCTCATTGTTTAGATTAGTTTGAGTCCTTATCAAATCACATTACCGTTTAACCATAATACGTTTCAAATCATAGTTTGGGAAATTCTGTAATTTAAATAACTTTTTCAAAACAAAACGTTTCAAATGCAATGTCAATTTACTTTTTTTTTAAGTGTATGAAAAATTTTAAACTAATTTTTTTTTGTGAAGTTTGTTATCCTGATTTTTTCGCTAACATAAAGCTCCTCACATTTTCGAGCTTATATCAAGTTGTTGCAAAAACTTGAGCAGCTTTCACAAATTACGATACACAATACTTTGAGAAAATCAAAATACTTGGTAACCGTTCATTTTGAGTCAGATTATGAGTTTCCAACTATAGTGGTTACGGTATCTCAATAAACTCGGTTTGCGAACCAAAATATTCTTTTTTTTTTACTTTTTCTCCCTCTCTTTTCCTCTCTCAATGTTATTGTGAAAATGTGATTTTTTTTCGGATACTATCAAAACAATGACTCACTAGAATTCAACTGATTTAGCGTTCAACCGCTCGGGCCTCTCTTTGGCAATCTTTTAAAATCAATATCTTGAATAATTTTATTAATTTAAGGTACTACCCCCCCCCCCCCCCCCCCTCCTTCAATCCACTCTCCATATAATTATGGCATACGGAAGGAAACCAATCGACATCGAGGATTCATTCGACTATTCATCGGATGAACGAAGCTCGTCCCCTTTGGCTACTCGTCTATCAGAGGCACGGCAAGGAGTTCGGGATATGATAGCAAAATGGAATGCTCAAGAATGTGCCAGGTAGTCATTATTTTGAGAATATGCAAAACATAAAAACCTATTGTAGAAATTCGAAGCTCGGCAAAACACCATCTTCTTTGACAAGGCTTCATTCGGAGGATAAAGTTAAGAAATATAAGGAAGAAAGGTTAGTGGGGACTTTATGTAGAAAAATTGAAAATATATTATTCAAAACTTTTTTTTCGAGAAATAGTATGAATTAGAAAACTTTATTCAATTCTATATATAACACAATAAATTTCCTATTTTGAAACATCCCTTATCTTGATAAAATCGTTTTCGAAAATTTCTATTTTGCATTGAAAAAGCGATTTTCGGTACTGCAATTGATATAACTGGGATGAAATCGACCGGCGGATTTTAAAAGTTTAGCGATGTCCACCTAAGCTATTTCGAATCTCTCTTGAACATTTCACAGAAGTGTGGGTTCACTAGGTGTTGATGTTTCCTTGTAAAAAAAACCGTAAAAAGCTAAAATATTTAAAGATAAATATTTCAAAGCCAGTCAAATTTGTGAAATAATATTTCAGAACGGCACCTCCTCCGGATCAATACACATGTGAGACTTCCACGTCTTCTACCGAACCTCGCCAAACTGTCCGACAATCAATCAGTTCAACGCCTCAACAGTTCCAAAAGAATACAGAGTCTGAATTTGACGCTTTTTTCAAAAAGCTCCGAAGCCACCATAAGTTCTTAAAAATTGTCAGTGAGGTAACACCTAGCACGTTTTCAACACGTTTTAATACAATTCCAAAGTTTCAGAACTTGCCAATTTTTTTGGAAAAGGAGCTCCCCAAAAAAGCTGTTTCGAAAATCAGAAAATTCCGAAATTCCCAAACTCACAAGGGAAGTGTTTTCAGAGGGGCGTAGAAAATTTTCTAAAAATTTCAGTACTGATAGTTTGAGATATCCGTAACACGATGACGAAAAAATCCAGGTCATAGTATCATCAACAAGCTGAAAATCTTCGTCTGAAAAAATCGATCACCCAAATGATCTTTACATATTTCTGTGTATTCCGTGCAATTTTGTGCTATATTTGAGAAGTTACAGTTTTTCAAATTTCTTGCAATTATCAGATTTTGTGAATTATCAGGGCTCACGGACGAAATCGAGCTGCCAAATTCTATGAAAATGATGTTTCTATCATTTCTGAATGTTTGAAAGACTTTTTTGCACTTTCAAAAAAATTCTCAAAAAATAAATTTTAAAGTGTGTGGGTAAAATCGAAAATTTTTTTTTTGAAATTGTACAAAAAATGTTTCAGATGATAGAGAAATGATCAAAAAAATAGTTTCCCGCTTGAAAAAATCCTGGAAAAAGAGTTTTAAAGCTCGAAAAATGCACGTTTTGGGTCAAAATTTAGTGCTGAAAACACTTTGAGAGCCCATATTTTTGTTTCTATTAGGGTTATGACCGAGATATTGCTGAAATCGTATTCAGCATGTTCGAAAGTACTTTTGTACAAATTTTGATCTAATTCTCAACACCCCTCTGAAAACACTTCCCTTGTCAGAATTTTCCCGAATCGGAACATTTCGAGATTCAGAAAATTTTTGAAAAGGGGATTCCCAGTATCTTTGTTAATTGGTATTACCTTAAATCGCCATTTTAGGGGAAACTAAATGTGTACAAGAACGCGCGGTATTTCATCAAAGAAGGACCGGTGAAAAAGCAAAGCCGAAATAAGAAGCAAACCCGACATCTTGTGCTCTTCACCGACTTACTATGCGTGTGTAGACTCAAACGATCATGGAAGAGCAAGAATTTCAATGTCAAGAAAAGCTATTTTCTGGACATTAGTGAAATCCAAATCAGTCCCGATACTCCTGAAGGTGGTGAAGTTCTGGAGATCTTGAGTGCAGTAAAATCGTTCAGCTTTTATTTTGAGAAGAAGGAGGAAAAGACTACATGGGAAAACGCTATCCGCCATTCCCAGGAACAGGCCAGCAAAAGAATCGGACGCAAGAATCTTGAGCAGCACATGGACTTGAAGTTGTTGAAGCCGATTCAAGTGCCAAAAGCAGATGTAACCGAGTGCATGATTGAGGGGTGCGGATCGTCATTCACGATGTTGTCTAAGAGAAGAAGCTGTAAGAATTGTGGCATTGTGAGTTGTTAGAAAAATTCTTTCTAACCCTAAATCTTTCCCATTTTCAGGCCATCTGCAGCCGTTGCGTCGGACGCGCACCACTCGCCAACACGAAATACAATCAAGGAAATGTGTGTCCTGATTGTAATGATAAAATTCTGGAGGACTGTATGTTTGCATAAATATCAATGCTATTAACAAAAAATATTACAATTTACAGGCGATGCTGGGACACTTTTTCCGGACAGCATCACCGATGTCACCAAAGGGAAGCTTCGCGTTAAAATTGGAAAAAAGGTGTATAGAGAAATAACAAAAAAGTAAGAAAAACATGAATTTTGCAGTTGAGGAACCCATCTTCACTCTTCAAGAAGCCACAAAATTTTGGACTGAAAAAGAAGAATTATGAAGAGAGGAAAACGGACAAGATTGCCGCCGATTATGTTTACATCAGGTGTGTTTATGGAAAACTAGGCCCTTGTATCTCCAGGTTTTAAAAAAATCTAGTTGGGATTTTGCGTTACCTTTTCTAGCGAAAAATTCAAATACATATTCTTGACCGAAAAACTTTTCAGGGATGCCAAAGGAGCAGAAAAACTGCGTTTTGTCTATATCAGAAAATCGGACTACACTCTGAGAGTTTTCAAATCAAAGTATGATAGTACAATTGTTGGCGAAGCAGAATCTTTGTCGCCACTTGTAATGGAACTGTTCAAGGTCGAAGGGAACTCAGATGGGTGGCACTTCCAATTGAAATGTAAATTAACAACTATTGAAATTCGAATTGAAGATGCTGCTATTGCCTCAGACTGGGACATGAGTTTGGGACCACATTTCAAAAGGAAATTTTACTGATTCTCGCTTCATATTTATGTCTTCTCTTTTTTTTAAACCGTCCCACGTTACTTTTCCTTCACTGCTTTTTCAAATTAATTTTGATTTTCCATCTCCCCAATACTTTTTTTTCTTTTTTTTTATGAATTTATCACCTAATTTGCAATCTTAAACTTGCACATTTTTTGTCACATTTTTTGCCATACTTAGTCAGTTTACTTTGTAAAAATCCATTTTCTTGTATCCAACATCATGCCACCTTGCTGTTCCGTTAACATTCTCGTATAATTTAAACATTTTTCATATTTTCTCCCACCACACATTTGAATTTCTCCAGTTTATTTTGTTTTTGTAATCTTGTAAATCATTCATAATAAAAAATGAAAATACACATATCATTATCATAATGGAATTAGCACGTCTTGGATCAAGTTCACATTAATTTTAAGTTTACTATTTCAGAAAAAAAATAGTATATTTCGAAAATTAAAAAATAAGTCGATTATGGTTACATGGAACATATTGTTCGCAAACTTGAAGCCAAACTATACAGAGGGTATCAACATCAGAGAGATCGAACAATCGAAGATATCGAAACTCGCCTAGATGGTCAACACGAGAAAGAAATTGAGGGTCTTGAAAAAGAATTGAAGCGTATTACCAAAGAATGCAAGGCTATTAGAACAGCTCGATCGAGCCAAGCTGCCCATTGAGATATTTCTACAATTTCTAAGAGTCCGTTATTGTATTTCTTCTAGGAGTTCGTTATTGCATTTTTCTTTGTTGATTCATTATCAAATGCAAGTTTTTCTACCGGGCCTATGATTGGCTTTAATTTTGTTCAATGTCGTTCGATTTTGAGATTTTTGGTTTGAAAAATGGAAAATTTCAGACAATTCTATAAATTATTTTTCTGAATATTTTTCCATCTCCCACTGTTTGAAATATTCGCGAAAACCTTTTCAGCAGATTCTGTTTAGTGTACATTCTCATTTCTATCAACAGTGTAAACTACTGTTCACTTTTGAAATAGAGAATCATTCCAGCTACCTTTTATGACTTTATGACTCGGAGTATACAGTATACCCCATAAACTACAATACTTAATGGTATACAGATACTAAATAATGATAATTAAAAATTTGAGGTGGAGTTTAGTACCGTTTACGTATTTGCAGTTTTGACTCCGCCTTTCGTTTTTCGCAAAAAGTCCTCATATTCATCCACTCGTTATTCATTCACTCTTCATCATCATCATCTCTCTCTCTCTCTCCCTATTCTTGTTTTGTAATTATTTTCTAAGATCGTTGATTAATGTTTCTCCAATCATAAAGTTGATTTTCAGCAAATAATGATTTCTCCGCAAGCCGTCAATGAATTCCAAAGACGTCATGCCGGCACCCGACTCGACGTTCTGTAGGTTCTTTAGGTTCTCACATTCTCACTGCTAGAATTTACAGTTACGTCAGTATCAAGAACAATTCAGCGGAGCTCCGAATCTTCAAGGAGATGACCAAACGTATGAACATGACGGCCACCATTGATCTCGCCAACGTTTTGAAGATTTCGCTGAAATCGAGTGGGGCTGGTAGAGGGAAAAAAGCAACTTTTGAGTACAAAACGAAACGCGGCTTTGGTATTGTTGCACGTCGATGTTATCAATGTGAGTTTATGATAGAATCACTTTGAAATGAAGTTTTATCTAGTTAACTGGAAAACTCATGTAGACTTTCGGCGATTTGATTAAGCTAACATACAATCAATTAAATGAACAAAAACGTATTTTAATTTGGTTTTTGACATTTTCTGAAGTCTGGACCTCGGCTATCCAGTTTCCAATCACTTTGAAAATTTTGGAGGGTATAAAACAGACCTAGATTGAATACTCCGTACCCACGGAATTTTTCGAAAATCCCTAATTTTTCAGCTACCCGTCGATTTCTGAAAGACACTTTTTTTACCGGTTTTTGTACTAAAAACGTGAAAAAACAGGTCTCCTTTAGAAATCGGCAACTAGCTGGAAAACTAATAATTTTCAAAATTCTGAGAGTGCAACGTTTTCTAACCAGGTCTGTTTCACACACTGTAAAGCTCACAAAGAAATCGACAGTTTGACAACCAAGCTTCAGACTCTTGAAAATGATCGAAATGACCAAAAATCAACTGAAAAAAAACGCTTTTCTGTAAATCCTAGTGACCGTTGTATTCCAATTTTTCAAAAAAATTAATTTATGTTTAATCTCATTTCTTTTTTCACAGGGATCAACGATTGGGATATTCGAACTGAACTCGTAGATGGGGTTGGCTACACGTTCGAAACTTCTGATAGTCAGTTAACCAAACTGGCATTCGAGAAACATATAGGAAATATCATCGATTCGTTCTCTGTGAAAAAGGTAGAAATCAAGGCCAAGGAAGGAATGTATGGACCATTGAAAGCACTCGGCAGTGCGCTTCGGAATTCTGGATCGATCATCAAACGGTTCGATTGTGAAGGAAACCACATCACCTTCGAAATGATGGAAAGCATTATAAAAAATGCGTCTTCACAAACTGCGCTCAACAATATCTTTGTGCCAAAGTTAACACCAACTGAAATAAGGGCTCTTGTTCACTACTGGGCAATGGGAAGTCGTATCGATGCCTTTACTTGTAAAATTTCCTCCGAATCAACCATCAGAGGAATTGTGGGAGCCCAGGTTGAGTGAGTTTCACATTAAAGTTTCTTACCGAACTTGAACAATTTCAATTTTCAGATCCACAATCGCCCGGAACATCGTCATCATCGTCAGCGCTGACCAAACTCGTGCCCGCGTTTCCCTTGTCAATGGAGCCGTCACCCTTGAGAAACTCTAATTTCACTGAATTTCTAAATTTTGAAATATCCATTTTTGGTATTATTTTTGTTGTTCCCTCCTTATCTCTCAATCCATTTAATGATACTCCCTATTGTCCATCTATATCAGGAAATTGCAGAATGTAACCTTTTGCTTACTATCAACTGTCAGTGTTTCTTTCCTCAATTTTAAAATTTAAATAAATCATGGTAATATGAATTTCTTCAATACTTCATTCCGTTCATTTGAAATAAGTAATAAATTATAATTACTTTTTCAAATATCTGAGAACACACATTCAGCCTCAATTTTCAGAACATCTGGGTAACTAGAAAACGTTAAAATTGAATTACCGAAATTCTGTTCAGAATTGCGTTACCCTCGTTCTCTCTGGACATCGTAGCTCAATTCACTGTACCTTGATTCGATCTCCTCCACATCTGTCATTGACATCGTAAAACCCTGTAAATTGCTCATTCTGGCATCTTCAGATTGTCCCGCTCTCACTCTCTCTTTCTCTCTCCCTCTTGGTCGACAATACTTTTACCACTCCGAACATTGACAGATTGTTAGTCTCACAACAGACCGGAAGAAGATCAAACCGAGCATCGATCGATTTTCCCAGGAGTACGCTTGCCGAAGTCAATGTGTGCTCTATCGATCAACCGTACTGCGACGGTTCCCCACGTCCTATTTAAAATCATTAGACATCATTCGATTTCTACGTCGTCGACAATTTTCTTTTTTTTTTTAATCAATCGGCGATTTATTTGTTTATTATGTTCTTATTTCGCTTATCTGCCATTTTTAAACCAATCATCTTTTCAAACAATTCGTACTCTTTCAGTCAGTTTTGTCTCCAATGCACTAGTTGCAATTATGGTAGCATTCAACAAGATTTTCAAATTTGCCGACGTATCAATCTGTGATATGTAAGTTAATCGAAATATTTTTTCTGGAAAACTGGAAATTTTTAAGGCCAATTTTCAGCTCTTTTTCTCAATCAATCTAAATTTTTTAAAGTGAATTCTTGAAGTTTCTCATAAGAATTCAATAACATTCCCTGAAAAACGACAAAATAATGTTAGAGACCAGAAAAACTCTAGAAAGACCATATACCGAAATTAAGAAAAACTACTCAATTATTTTAGTTCTTATGGAAGATATAAAATACCCGAAAACTAAAAAAAATATTGGTAATATTATGATAAATACTTTATCAGTTAGCAAAGTTCTTATATGTTTTACAGGAAGCGAGATAACTGAGCTTAAAGTTGAAGCTCTGTGTGGGCTCTAATTGGAGGAACTACGGTAACTTTTGAATAAAATGAGGATAGGCAGTTTTGACAATTTTCAAACAGAAATTTCTTGCACACAACAAATTGATAGTAGTGTTTCCCGGAAAATATAGGGAAAACAGTAATGTCTTTTTCTAGATTTGAACAAGCCTAGCTCTTAAAAACTAATAATACGACCTCTTCATTTTCAGGTGGACACTTTCTCAAAAATCCGAGGAGAATGAGAAACTGATTAAGGAGTACGCTAAGGACAAGAACGTCATTATGAGCATTACAATCAAGCAAGAACCAAAACTCGAAATTCTATTTCCCAAGTCATCCAAAAAGTTCACTATGAAGTTTAGAGCAGTGAATCATATGAATTTCTCGCATTTCTCAATTAACCCAGAAAATTGTAAAAAATCCATGATCTACTGTCCAAAACGAGACGAGCTTCTTTTCGAAGCAAAAACCTTGGAAAAATGTCGGTATATTGAGCTTTTCATTGACTTTTTCTCCATAAAATCGGTCAACTTTAAAGTCATGAAGTTTGATGATGGTTGTAAGTATGAGAACGAAGAGAAAGCAGCGTCAATTTTTGAGCTTCTCGTGAGTTTAAAAATTCAATTCAAATGTTTCGTCTAGCGTTTCTGCCCACTTGGGTTTGAAACGTTGGCAGACATTGTTCGTGGTGACAGAAACATTGAAATGAAAACTTCTGAACTCACAAAGTTAGACATTGCAAATTTAATTGCGATTTGGGTAGACTATGGGGTGGTTCGTAATTTTAAAGTCAGTGGAATGAATGGAGTTTTGCTGTGTGACCTGATAAAATATACTCATTGGCCCATGTGGTAAGTTTAACTAATATTTCTATCGTAAAAACTTAAATAAAACAACTAAATCTAGAAAACCGTTTTTTTTTCAGTACCAAAAACAACAACAAATCCGTTGATGTTGTACGCAAGGACCATGTGGCAGCGAGGATCGAGCTTTCCCGTGAAGAATTCAAAATCACTCCACTTCATAAATATCGTTAAGTTTTTTTTGAATTTTCATTTATTCGCTTTGCCTTTTTTATATAAAAATTTCAATACATTTTTGAAATTGAAAAAAACTCACGTATTGGGACTAGACAGGGCCGTTGACCACATCAATCAAATTATGCCAAACTCATTTGAGATGAGGGATTTGTTTCAAACCATCTCGAAATATGTCTATGTTCTTGAATCAGTATCCTCAACCGTTGCATCTTCGTCCACCACCAGGCGTCCCATATCCACATGAATACGATTTTCTGCAAGCAAAATTTATGGCGGAGAGTATCACTAGAACTTGTCTCCTAAACTAACCGCCAGTGCTTCAACACCATTGATAAATTCCATGACTTTCGATATATCTAGGAAGAGAATCCTTGATATTGCTCTTACATACGACGCGAACGGGGCTATTTTCTACTTCATCAAGTTTCTGGGTTTGGGTTTTGTCAGCTTGTCAAATAGCCGTGGCCTGTTTTTCTCCGATTACAAATTCTTCCAATTAATGTCGTTGGTGAAACAGAATTCTGTTCAACGTCGTGTTTCATTCGTCGTTCAATGAATTTGGTTGGACTCGATGTCTCGATTTTTGACACATTAGTTGCATTCCCAGTTATTGAGTGGTTTCGAAGCTTTGAAAATATCGTGAGAGATGACAGAAGTACGTCAGCAACAGTCAGAATCGCTCTGAAAAATGAACATATCGGTTATTGAAAATCATTTGATAAGAACTGACAATTACAGTGCAACATTTGCGGTTTGAAGGAAAAAATGCCGAATTACAGTGATTTAATTTTGGAAGATTCATTCATTAAAAATCTTGGAGGATCTTTTCGAAATTCAGGTTCATCCAGTGTCCATAACATCAAAACATTGCTGACATTCGTAGGCTACCATCTACAGTAAAATCGATTTTTTTTGTCATAATGTCATTTTTTCATCTTCTCCATCTTCTTTTCATTCTTCATCTGCAGGTGTATCCATTTTTCCACACATTTTATGAAGGTCGAGAAGACTGATAACAAACAATGAAAATATCTTCGAACTTCCTCCTATGTCAATTCATTTGTTAGTTGATTTTGTCCCTGAAAATAAAATTACGAGTTTTCCTTTTTTTTATGTGTTTTAATGTTTTCGCTGATTTTCTGAAATTCCCAGCGAAAAACCTTTCGAGTATATTTTTTTACTAATTCTCCCGTTCAAAATGGAAACGTAGTGAGCTAGACGCGAAATAACGTTCAAAAGAAAGAGAAAAAGAAATGCCGCGACGAGACCCGCAATGCTACTGACGTCATGTTCCTTTGAATAATATTGCGTTTTTTGAGTTCTTTCGTTGAAAGAAAATTTTGCAAGATAAGATACCACAAAAGGTGACTAATTTCGAAGAAATATCATAATTAAACTTTATAGTTTATTATCGAATCTTTGAAAAACTCACAATTTATCGCTTTGAGACTGTTATTCCAGAGTTGTAGATAATCGAGTACCGTATATTGCGTCGTATTCTAATTGTGTCTGGGCACAATGAACGATTTTCGTTAGGTTCGGACGATTTTTCGAAAAAGTTCAGGCTCCGTAGTTGAAAAATTAGCCTAGCCTACACCTCATGTGTTTTCCAGACCATTTTAAATTGGTGGCCTAAACTTTGAAACTCTAGTTTTGTTGGCCACCAACTTTTATGACTTGGAAATGTCCTGATATTCAGCTGATGCGTTCCATAGGCAATTCGACCCACGTGTAAGAAATAAATTCAAATAATTTTTCAATAACTTCTGTTTTTTCTTAAATTAGAACGGTCCGAACCGGCCGAACCGTCCGGTCCGGGCTGGCCCGGGCCACCGCCCCGCGCGGGCCGGAGAAAAAATAATCTCGGCCCGGCCCGGCCCGGCCGGTTGCAACCCTGCTAAATATTTTCTTGGCGGGTTTTCCAAACAATTTTAACCGACGGCCTATTTTTCGCAATGTGCGTTTTCAATGACATTTTGGTAAACAACCTAGAATCCTTATAAGGTGAAACTCATACTATTTCTAGGTCATTTACCATGAAGGCCTAAATAATCATTTGCAAAAGTTAGGCCACTTTGTAAAGAGGGGCTGGGAAACAAAAAGCCTTTCAAAAAATACATACTGTCTAGGACCACACAATCACATATGAGAAATATGACATTCCAGTTTGTGTTCCTTTTTTCCAGCAACCCCCAACATTTCCGAAGCTTCTGCAAAAACTCTCGCTGAACAGATTTGTTGACTTGCTGTCTATCAAGAGTATTGTGCATAAGAATACCTCTGATTTAAAGTACTTATACCTAACTTTTCAAAATTCTATCACAGACCTGAAAATCAAGAAAATCCTGGTTTCTACCTGTGATTTACCTGATGCCTCGTTTCAGAATGAGTGAGAGCTATCTCAATTCGGGAAACGGCTCATTTTGTTATTATTTTTTAATTTTTCGGAATTTTTCAATGAATATTTCTATCAATAGATGTTCAACATTTCCAGAAATCGAAAAAAATCCAGAATTATAAAAAAAGCTCTAAAAACAATGTTATTTACTTCCCTCTCCGATTGAAACGTTTCAGCTTTCTGAAATCCAAAAATTACTCTTATTACGAAGCCTTATATTCGTGATCTCCAATGTTCCCGTTTTCTAACATCTTCTGACTAGAGTGACACATGAATCTAATGAACTATGAGCAGATTTGTTTTTTCTTTCAATTATTCACGTTGCTTCTGATCGCCACATGTGTTATTTTGGTCACTCGAGTTTAGCAGAGCTTGTTGCGACTGGAAAAATAATTTTAGGACTGCTGAAAAGGATTTTAGCTGAAAACTAGTTCTCTCACGTTGTCATCTATACCATAAAACCTGTAATAGAAAGGCCCCGGCGTTGTCAAGTTCGATCTCATATATCTCAATTTTTATACAAAATATCAAAAATTGGTCAACTGAAAAACAATTGTAATGTTATGATGAACAATTTATCAGTTGACAACTTTTTAATATCTTTGACACATACCGAGATAAATTGGCTCGAAGTTCAAAGCTCGGGTGCCATCCTATCAGAAGCAAGTTTTACGGTGGTTTCAGACTTTAGGACTACTTGTCTTCTCTCTCAAGTCTAAGTTGACTCATACTAATTCTTGAACCTCATATCCAAAGAAGCAACGCCGTAGCCTGAATTTCTGATTTCTTATTCACCACATCGCGTCAGACTCAAACTTCACCTCCATAGTCTAATCTGCGTCTTGCCCTGTGGTGTGCTCTCATGAGCAGATGTCTATTTTGTGCTCTTATGGGCAGAAAGGAAATCAGAAGATTAGAGCACGTTGAAAAAAAAATAGGGGCGGGAGCAGGTGATTCGTGATCTCCGTCTTTTTCTGTCGAGCAGGGAGGATAATATGTGTACCGAAAAACAAAAGATGAAATGCTTCCAGTTTTGATCTTTGTGGTTGGATTCGTAGTCTACATCCTATTCATTAGAAGTGTATAAATACTCTAGCTATAGCTCGGAACCCTCATTTCTTCTGACGATGCTATCCCTGGCTAATAATTGCTCCATTTGTGGCAGGTTCACTACCGACTTCAATTATGGGGTAAGTTGGAAAGAGAACTTATTATAACCTGTATTAGAAAGGCCTCTTTAATATAAGGGCCTCCGAGAAGCTTAGAAAATGGGAATGGCCTCCTTCAAAATGTTCTATTTGAGATAAATTAAACATTTCCATACGTTTTCATAGAAAAAAGTCCGGAAAATGAACAAGTCAACCGAAATTCGAAGAAAAACTCTTTTTTGTTAAAAAAATTTGCTTATCTTTAATGAAGTTGATAGATTTTTATCAATTTTGAACGAAAATTTGTTAGTTTTTTTTTAAATGAAAAAATTCGGAACAAGGGGCGGGAAAATAGAAGGGCTCTTCTAATTGTAAGGCTTTGTAATAGAAGAACCGTCTTTTGTGATACCGGTTTTACTGTAATTGTCTCTTAAACTTTCAGGTGCTATCCTGCAATGCCTGTAAGGTATTTTTCCGGAGAATGATTACCCGAACAGCTCCTTTGCGAAAGTGCCACCTGGGCGAAAGATGCTTTGATAGTAAGCCTAACTACCGTAACACACAACTCATCTACTGCTTTCCAGATGGACGATACAACGACAAGAACAAATACCTGAACTGTCAATTCTGCCGATTTCAAAAATGCCTCCGAAACAAGATGACACTTCCCTCCTACCTCCTATTTACGGATCAGAACAAAAAAAAATGTTTAGAAGCCGTCATCGCGAGTCTTAACGAAATGGATATCGTCCGAGGAAAATACCTGATTGACTTTATCACTCCAACAGGAACCGATCTATCCATTAATGAGATTCTAAACATGGAAAAAGTGATCTACATGGAGAAACCAGCAGGACATCCGATGAACTTCCCAGATGGAACGGATTTGCTGCCAAAAACAGAATGGCCCAATCCCCGGATTTCTCCAAAATTGGAGAACAGAATCAGAAGTCGTCTGGTAGGTAGACTGGCGGAACTGAACGTCACTCACGAGGAGTTTCTTCTACTTTCCGTTCTCTTGTTCTGCAATCCAGGTAAGAATAACACACAAGACATCGTTTATGCTAAACATTTCCAGCAATTTCAAATCTCTCTGAGAATGGGAAATTTCTGCTTGGCATCTATCAAAACATGTACGGTGCAGCACTACTCCAATATTGTCTTTACAAGTACCAACACAATGGGCCAGCTCGCTACGCCGATCTCCTCGGGTTCTACAGCGTCATTGGAAAACACTACGACGATGTCATCCAGTACTACGTGCTTCTCCAAGTACTCCAATCAACTGTTGAAGTGAAGAAGATAGTTCAAGATGGTATTGAAGCAGCGTACAGGAATTGAAATGATCTAAATCCTACCTTTTAATTTCCCCTCTTCTCATTTAGTGTTTTAACATCATATTAATTCCTGTAGTGACATTTATTATAATACATAATAAAATAATGAATATCCCAAACAAATATCTTATGGAACTAAAAACCATACTCAAAAAAAAAGAAATTTAGGATGTAAAGTAGAAGAAAACTGATAAAAGCAAAAATAAGGAAAACGGTGATTTACTATTAGGTATTAGGTAAGGAAAGGTAAGGAAAGCAACTGTCCATTTTTTTATTAGTAAATAAAACAAAAGCAAGATTAATCCAAGATTTACAGTATGTACCGTCGTGGTCCGCAACATGTTGTCAACATTTTGGTAACTTGTCGATACCGTCCCTGAAAACGCCAGCTGGCCGCGATTCAAACTATTACTTTGGTACATTTTTTTCTCATCGATTTTGTCAAAGTCCTTACGCTTCAGATGTCGTTGTATATCTCCGAATAACTAATAATCTGATAGAACAAAATCAGGATTTTCACGAAGGTAAAAGAGAACTATCCGTGCAACATGAGGTTTTGCATTTTATAAAAAAAATCAAGTCAGACTCGAGCAGCTTCACGGTTCGGCTTTTTTTGACAAGAGGGGCCCATGAGAAAAAGGGGGGCCCATGGGAAAAGGGGGGGGGGGCAAG